TTGATTCTGTATTCGAGGTTGGAAGCCGCAGTTAAAAAACGTACCACCCTAGCAGCAGTTAAACCACCATAGCACTTATGACCATCACTCTTGTGTACAACGCAGGAAGATGCTACCACTCGAGACCCACCCCAACTTCGCCGTTGACATCAAGCTTTTGACCGGAGAGCGCTTCAACGACACCCAGCGATCATGTCACGGCTGTGGACAGAGGCTCTGGGCGGCAGTGGAGCGAGACGGCAGGCTAGTTCCCCATGGGATCCCCAAGCGCGAGACGGTCCTTAAAGAGGGGTTCATGGTCTGTAGAGCAGATGCCTGTAAGTCCAAAACGACGGCGAAGCCTCGGAAGATCTTCTGTCTGGAGTGCCTCAGGGTTCGCGAGAGGGGGGGTGGCAGCATCCCCTTTGAAGCTTGCTTCAAAACCCGACCCGACAAGAGCCTTGAGCAGCTCCTTCGGGAGTGTCTCCATTGCAAGCTGGGGCAGGGTGCGCAGTGCAAGATCCGGGAATCAGACGACCTTTCATGCCCAAGCGCCGTCTAGAACAGAGACCACCGCAGGGGCTCCAAGAAGCGCAAGAAAGATGATTCCCAGCGCGAGCTCACCCCATGGCTCGGCGCTTGGAGGCATACTTTCGCCTGGCGAGACCAGTTTCTGACGAACCTCGTCCACCTCCCAAACCCCCATCAATACCTCTTCTTCTACCCTGGGTCAGCCCCTCGCGATGCCGTCTTCCACACCATGCGGCTCAGCTCCCCAAGAATTGTGTACGAGTGGGCGTACCTCTGGCCTCTGCCGGAGTTGCCCGCGCTCGAATCCATCTTCTTCATCCAGCCCGGGGGGGCGCACCAACCAAGGAAGTTGGCTTGTGATCCGATGCCGCCCCATCCAGTTAGGTTCTCGTACCGCACTCAGCCCCCTTTTCACGGCGGCGTGCTCTTCTTCGCTCGAGCCCCCTGTCTGTACGCTTACTACGAAAAGGCTGCCGACCTGGTCCCGGAAGACGCACCACTCTCGCAGAAGCAGCGCCTGGCCGAAGACACGGTAAGCCTGCCACGTCAGCGAATGACTTGTAGGAGAAATGAAGGCATTTTTCCTGAGCAGATTCCCTGTTGGCACTATCGACAAGACAATCTTTGAGCATAGAAAAATACCGGTGAGATGACAAGAACTGCCATGTCGGTGCTTGATTGTTCACTCTGCCGAGGATCACCCCAAGGTGCTGGATGGTATGGTCATCTAGATTGTTTGAAAAGCATGCACGCAATGGGCGTGCCACTCACGAGCGCTGCTATCAGCCACGCTGCTTGTCAAGGTCACATGGAGTGTGTGTTGTGGCTTCTAGATAACAATTGCCCAATGGAAGCAAATGCATGCACGATGGCTACGTCTGGGGGTCAATTCCAAGTGCTTAAGTTGCTACGACGACACGGATGCCCTTGGGATCATTTGGCATTAAAAGAAGCCCTGTCCCGCAACAATTTTAAGATCCTGTATTGGGCGCTAGATAATGGATGTCCTTGGGACCCATGGTGTTGCCCACCGAACGTAACAGGATAAGATAAGGTTGCCTCTTATGCGGATAAGGCAGGGTCCGCGTCGTGTTCTTCTCGAAGTAAGTAGTTCTCTTCCTCCCTCTCTCCAGGTGAAAATCACGCGCGAGATCCCCGCAGAGGTGTACGAACGCGAGCTGCCCCTCCTCATCGAGCAGTTTCGAGCGCATGCCCAACGAAAGACGCCGTTGCACACGGGGCGCCTGCCCGGGAACTTCATGCTCATCGCCAACATCCGACAGGACTGGCGTCGGGAAGAGTCGGGTCGGATTTTGAGGGCACGCGTGGTAGAGCCCGATCTCAGGGCGAAGAAGCACGGGGCGACAGCCAAGCGGCCCGACTGGCCGGTCCTCGTGCGCGTTGTGCCAGGGGCGGAGGCGACGCTTGACTGCTCGTGCGAGATGAAAGCGTCGGGTGGGCGGTGTTACCACAAGGGCGTCTTGGAGGCCCTGCACTCCGAGCTGCGCGACCTGCCCGTGTACTGTTCCGAGGACGCGCTGGTGCGTATCGGCGGCTCTGTCCGCAAGCCGACTTTCAAGGATCTGGACGGCACCGCGACGAAGGCGCTCGAGTGGAAGGTCAAAGACGCCGAGGGGGGCGGTTCTGCGGAGACCGTCACCTTCTACATCCATCACGCTGGGGCCTCTGGGACGCTCATCGCCGAACGGAAGGAGAGGAAAGGGGGGGCTGCTCTGGAGTGGGCGTGCGCCAAGTGCCCACTGGGCAAGACGGACCTGGAGGGGCGCTGCGTGCATTCCTATCGGAAGGCGGGGTTGACCAGCTTCGTGCAGCAGGGGGATGGGGTGGACGAGCCGTCGAGTCCCGAAGAGGTCTGGGGGCAAGACTATGGGGTCAAGCCGTACCCGAAGCTCGGCACGGCGACGGCGGTCGTCTGCACCGCCTGCCCGCGCGGCTACCGCAACCTGGCGGAGGACGCGAGCGAGACCCGGAGGCACGCCTGCCGCCACCTGGCCGAGTTTCCCCTTGCACAGCCCCCTCCGGAGCGCACGGCAGAGCAACTGCGCGAGCGGCCGATCCTGTACGGGCCGCACCTGCGGGTCGCGCACGTTTGCACCACGGCCTGCGACCTGAGGCCCTGCGGCCAGCTACCGCCCCGGCACGACAAGGTGAATCAGACCGCCGAGCACGACGCGAGCGTGCAGGATATCTCAAGGTGGTGCGCCCTGGGCACATTCTGCCAGGACCGCCCTGCCAGCCCTCCCCCTTGCGGCGGGGGTTGGAAGCTAGGGTGGAAAAAGAAGGGGACGGGCAAGGCCCGGCTGTTGCGCCTCAACTCGCTGCAGGAGATCTCCCTTGGCACCTGGAAGTGCTACCCACGATGCCCGTCAAAGTGCGCGCTCAAGTTCGACGCTGCCAGCCTCGGGCTCTACTTCCTCTCTCCCAAGGTCCTGTGCACCCAGCCGGTGCTGAAGGCCCTCGAAGACGCCGTGTACAACAAGCACCAGTCATTCAAACAAGCTGCGCAGACGTGGGACGCAACCGCTCGCCGCACCTCTTCGCGTAAGTGCTCAACTCCCTAACCCACAGCCAATCAGAGCGCGCCACGTGGCATGGATGGAGGTTTGGCTTTCGCACGCTGCCGCTTAGGATGGAAGCGGAATAGGATGAAGTTGAATCTGTTCGAGTTGTTTCATGCGATTCGCCGCTGTCCTGATCTGACGCAGCTCCGTGCTTTGGCAGCTTGCAACGAGCGGAGGCTCGAGATTTCGACCAAGTGCGAGTCCAAGCCCATGCCGACGGGAGAGCCCAAGGGGGACGAGGAGACTGGGACGAAAGACTCAGGGACAGCAGCTTGGGGTGAGGTTCTTGCTCAGGTGTCTTTATTCCAACACAAGAACAACCAAACGGTCGATCGCTCTGCCTAAGCCTAAGCAACGTAGCGGGATGCAGCGAAACTTGCACGATGTCTTAACGCCAAGTCGTCTGTGTCATGCAGATGCAATCCTGGGGGTGAGCGGCGTACGGTCGCTCTGCGAGGGAAGGGCACGTGACGCCATCATGCGATACATCCAGCACCTCGACGACCACTCGGTCGAGCAGAAGATGCGCGAGCGCGAGGGTGCAGTGGAGGCCATGGCGTTGCCGCCTGTCCCACGCCGACAGCCCGACTTCGTGCCTGCAACGGGGAACGAGAAGACGCCTTCCTTTGTACTCTTCGTGCCGCCCGCCGAACCCACTGAGGACCTGGTGGGGGCAAAGGTACAAAAGTACTTCCGGGAGAACCAGGCCAAACGGACGAAAGGTCGGACGTACCTGGGTGTGGTGACGGAGTATGTCTACGAAAAGCTCCAGTGGCGGGTAAGTTACTCTTGCTCACCTTGTATCGAAGCTTTTCTGGAGAAAGTACCAATGGGCTTGTAATAAATACATGATTACTAGTATTCATGATTTTCCTCCTCATTATTATTCCGTTTTCCCCCCCGGTTACCCCCCCTCCTCCGCCTCTTTTCCCTCATCCTCCCCGGGGCCCCCCTTTACCCCCCCCTTCATCCCCCTCCTCCGCCTCTTTTCCCTCATCCTCCCCGGGGCCCCCCTTTACCCC